CTCCTCGGCTGTTTCGTAGACTACTTCAATTCAGGCCATGAAGGGAGAAGGGATTGCTGTGCACAAATCGCTAGTTGCGTTGAGTTGTCATATTTTAGCGAGATCAAGGTGTTTTGCCTGTGATAAATTCGGTGCCAATGGTTGGTGAACATGTACTCGTACGAACGAGAAGATTAGCCGACCCATAGGGTTGCAGGTTTAGATACTGCATGCCGATCTAATATGGTGAACTCAGTTGTGTAAATGTAAACCAACTAGCATGTAGCGGAGGTCCGTGGTCGTATGACCATTGTGTGGACATCAGGTAAGCAGATGTTTGTGACGATGCCGAAGACATGTGTTGGTGACAAACAATTGATCCTTATCACTAAGTTTCAGCATTCTTGCACTATTTCCGCATCGAGAACTAAACACCAAGCGTCCAATTAAGTCGCCGGGTGCAGTCCGGTCATTCCAAACCCTTGCAAAAATCATCAGATCATGGAAAGTAAGTCTTGCAACTAACTTGTGGCAGCGAGTAGAGGGTTCTTTTACCGCACTACTGCTACTACTTGCTACTTGATCCAATTAGCCCCTGCTGTTGGATGAATCGGCCTCACGGATGTCACGGATAGCGGCAGCCCATTGGCGGCGATCGGAAGCGAGCTCCTCGCAGATGTTAACCCAGTGTTTGTTCCAGTGTCGCAAGCCGTAAACCGTTACGAGGCCCATCCGTTCGATGTCCGACTTGACGGTGTTGAACCATGTCTTCAGTTGACCGTCATGTCGGTATCTCCAGTTTGCAATACGAGAGGGGTTCACGACCAATCTGCAGAGGTCCGTCGATAGCTTGCGTAGGACATGGTCAAACCATTGCAATCGATGATGCTGAGTGTATGATGCTAGATTTGGTAGTTTGAAACATCTGCCGTATAGCTCGATATTGGAAATTCGATCCAGCCAGAAGACTCTTAAGAGGCGTCGAAGGCACCAACGGTCAAAGACTTCGAGTGATAGGATGTCTGCCCCTCTCACTGGCCATGTTTCGCAGGAATATGCTAACACCGGTCTGATTGATGCTTTGTATATCAGCAGCTTAGTACGTAAGTTGATGTCTGAGCAAGGCCAGAGTGGTCTGGCTAGCAGCCTAAATGCATTTCTGGCCTGCGCGATTCGATTATTGATTTTTTCTTTGGCCTGTCCGTTGGCTAGCATATTCGAGCCCAAATAGCGGAAGCAGCCAACCTCTTCCATGGGTTGACCACTGATAGTGGTTGTGCTGTGCCAAGGTGCGTAGTCAGGAGCTTAGTCTTGCGTACGTCAATCGTCAGACCAACCGTTGCAGCGAACCTGGTGATTCGGTCTAGAGTTGGCTGTAGAGACTGAGGGGTTTACTAAGTACGACAATGTCTTCTGCATATTCCAGGTCAGGTACTCTGAATTCAGGGCTGAGTTCACATCTACTGCCAGGTATAAGTGATTGATGCATCCCCTAGTCGATCAAGAAGTTGAAGAGAACTGGGGAAAGAGGGCATCCTTGTCGAACTCCACAACTTAGTAGCAAAGAATCTGACTCTTCACCACGTGTTCTTAGTCGGGCTGATGTCGTGCTATAGTAGACTTTGATCTGATTGATAAAATTTAGTAGGAGGCCATCAGCTAGCAAGATTTGTCATAAAGCTTCTCTGTCGATGGAATTAATTCGGTCTTGAAGTCAGTGAAACAGGCGGTGGTGACCTGTTGATTCTGGTGTCTGTGTTCCAGTATGCGGCGTAGAATGAAGATCTGGTCAATACCTCCTCTACCTGGATGAAATCGTCCTTGGTTAGGACGAGTACGAAGATTGCGCTCAATCGAAAATCTACGGAGA